AGTGATAAAAGGGAGAAGGGAATGAAACAGAGATTTGTAGAAATGACGTATCTTATTGATGAATGTAAAAACTTATACAAGCCTTTATTTTGAACTCGTGACCATAAGCGAAGGTCATGAGTTTAAGCATGAATTTAATTTAATTTTTTTTTGAAGAAAGAACCCTCAACAGCTTTTCAATAGACCATTCCAAGATTAGTACTTATCATGGTCGTTCGTTGATGTCTAGTGTGTTGGCCTCAAACATGAGCCGCCCAGTGTCGATAAGCTCTTGGACGCGAAGCTTCAAGGCCTTGCAATTTTCAATAGAATGCCCTGCTGCCCCGGCGTGATAATCGCAAGTTTCCTCGGGCCTATACCACAAGGGGTAAGACAGTTGTTGCTTTCTTTGCGGTGGGGCTTTTACCAACATCAACGCCTTCAGCAGTTGAGGAAACAAGTCTCCATAACTTATAGGAACTTTGTCAAAAGTCCTTTTTGCCTTTGGCCCCATTTTGAGTTTTCGAGGAAAGATAGGGAGAGTGGTAGCGCGAGTTCCCTCTTCTTTCTTCCTCTCGTAGACCCCTTTTGATTGACTATTATTCGGCCGTGAGGATTCTATGATTTTGCATATGAATGGGACGTCTTGCGTTGGACAGGCCTCGACCACCTCTTCATCGTCATAATCATGTGTTTCGACGGCTCTTAATCTTTCTTCTAGAGCTTTCAGACATCCTCTAGTATGGTCGATGTCGTGTTGCATTCTGGTCATGGTATCGATCATCTTAGACATTTGTTGTCTAAGCCGTACAAGCTCCTCAAGAAGTACATGATTTCCTTCCTTTAGAGCTTCCATGATTCTTCCACTTTAAGCCTCGTAAGTATGGAGTGTTGAAAAGCCACCTTTGAGGGATAATTTCCTATTAAGCTTATTTAAATGATAATGCACGAAGGAGGTCTCCCAACAAAGACTCGGTAACCACACCTTTGAATGTGAAATCATAGTGTCCCTTTTCGTAATTTTTTACGATGTGACAAAGGTCACACTAATTGGAGTTCGTTAGTCTTTGTGAGAAATCCCCTAGTGATCCTAGGAATGTATATGGTATGCATGTCCCTCCTTTTCACTGTCACTTTTATTTATTTTTTATTTTTTATTTTATTTTTTTTTGGAAAATGCATGGTGCCCCCCTTTTTAAGAAGGGATGTATGCTTCTCGCAGATCTTATTCACACTAGGTTTTCTCTCATGATAATGCATTTTTATTTTTTGTGTTTTTCTTTACCTTAGCGGAATTATAAAAAAAATAAAATAAATGAGTGGTTTGAATAAACAAAATGCAACAAACATATGCTTATACAAAATAACCCACGAACAGTCACGTTCAAATCCTTGGTCTGTGGTCTCGGTTAAGAAAAGTGCGTTGTATAGGATAGTTCTAATCTCACTGGTCTTAAGGCCCCCAAGGTGCTTCCATTATAGGGACCTAGTATCTCTGTCGCCGTCAACTGGAAAACTCTAAGGTTTGTCGCAGTATTTCGGGCTAGAGTAATCGGTTATCACCTTGAGTATGATTTTCGACAAGGCTCGCAAGCTCCAAGGTCAAACTTGGGCTGGTCCTACGTCAACCACTCCCTATGTTTAATACCCTCATGCCCCCGGGTGTAGGGGAACTGTTGTATGCAAAGGTTTGTGTTCAATTTTTATTCAAATAGATGCGGAATTTAAACAAGAAAACATATATTAAAGCCATACGAGAAAACAAACAAATGAAGGGGACCAATATTTAAATTATTATTCTTATTTTATTAACTTCAACATTTATATGGGCCTGACCCTCTTTATACGTATGGAGTCGCCATCTGTTGCAACCCAAAAATTTTCGATCTCGCGACCTATGGTTTAGACATCCTTTTGAAAATCTCATCAATCTCGGACACCAGACTAATTCTTAATTAATGATTTTGAAAAAAAAATGAGTTCATGGAGTCGCCACCAATGTTTTACTCAAAACATTGGAAAAAGAAAAGATTTTTAAAAATTCAATAATGGCCTTGATAACCAAAATTAGGTTCGGGGGTTGGTTACGTGTAGCGAAGGTATTAAGCACCCCTACAGCGCCCTCAATCGGTACCCTATGATGAAGTTAACGTGATAAGAATTAATAAATTAAATATTAGATCCCCTTTATTAATATTTATTTACATGCTATAAATTTAAATTACACGATTAATCCTAAAATATCTACATAATTGCTTTTATTATAACAAGATTTATCAAAGATAAGAAATAAAAGGAAGAGAAGAAGATTGACTGAAATACCTCTTGAACGAGCTCTATTGAATCTTCAAATATGGAGATTTTTAGGTGCTTTGTGGCAACCTTTCACACTACAATATGCCTCACAAAACTCAAGAAATACAATAGAAGGGGGAGAGAGAGAAATTTCGAGCTCTAAAGAGTCTTGGACGAAATTTTGTGGCCCTGAAAACTGTGCCCAAGTCGTCTATTTATAGACATCAAAAAGTTGCTAGAACAGCCCGTTCCAAAATCGAAACGACCCGTTCTGAATCCGACCGTTCAGTGTTAATTTTGCAACTGGAACGGCCCATTCTGAAACTAGAACGGTCTGTTCCAGAGATGAGACTAACACATGATTGACTAGGCTGGAACGACCGTTCCAAACAAGGTTTTTAGGCCATTTTAATAACTTAGAACGGCTCATTCTAGTTTCGGAAACGGCCCGTTTCAATTGAGGTTTTAGCCCTTTTTTAGGATCTTGGAACGGCCCGTTCCAAACTAGGGTTTTAGGCCCTTTTAGGAACTTGGAACGACCTGTTCCAAATTGGGAACGAGCCGTTCCGGTTTTGCAACAGACCGTTCCTAGCTACTAAAACCAGCTTGTTTGGCCTTTTAGGCCTTTTGATGTCATGTCTGTTATTTCCATGCTTGGGAGCTTCATTTCTTTGATGATAGACGTCCATTTCATTGGTTTTGTTAGTCTGGACAAAATTGGGTGTCTACAAGTCAGACGAAGCAATTCTCAGAAAGGTTTTGAGTATGACAAACATAATTCACGTGGTTATCTCTAACAAGTGTGTTAGTATTTCAGAAAAATGTAAGGACAGAAAAAGTGAAGAACAACCATATGCATCAGACAATACAAGAAGACAGACGAAAGGCTAACACAAGTATCCAACAAGGCCAAATCAAGAACAAGGAAAAACTGTGTCAAGCACAACCTAAAACACAACATAAAGACGCAGACGAAGGTTGGTCAAAGTTCAGAAGAAAGTCAACAACACACCAAATGAAGGACAACACAAACAGATAAGCACTCTAGAAGGATTTGAAAGTCTGACCATATACAAGTTGACTAGATGAAAGGAAAAGTCAATGTGTTAATGACAAGTGCTCAGACAAAGGTCAAGGCTTGAGCTACACATAGACTACCAGATGCAAACAAAAATTGTCACGCAACCACCTGAGAAATCAAGTTTCATAGGACAATTTGAATATCGTCCACACTCACAGGAGAACACATGAAGTCATCGAAATTGTGAGAAGAAAAGAAGAAAAAAGGAAAGTAAGCACAAAACGTCAAATCCCTAGTGTGTCAGAAAAAGGACACCTACTTTTCTAATAAAGATAACGTCTCTGCAACTAATCCCTAGGATTTTGTGAAAGTTAGAATCTGCAGATTCAAAATAGTATATGCATTGTTCATAAACAAGAAGCAACATTTAATGCAGATCAAGTGCATTAAATTAAAGAATCAAACTAGTCATGAACGATTATATCAGCTTCAACGAACATATGCAACGGGCAAATTTTACAGGCCTATAAGTATGCAATAACCTCAAACCAAAAAAGGTAGGCAAGAAGCAACGAAAGAATAATAACTATAGGCATTGCCCTAGGCTCTGAACATTAAGCATCAAAAGTAATATCAAGCCCAAAAGAAAAACAGAGAGATCAGATATCGATTCTTCATAGTCAAATCTACAATGTACCATTGTATTCATCTCTGTAGTCTAAGGTGTTCCAAGTGTATCTTAGGAAGGAAACCTTAGTGAGCGTTGTAATCTTATGTATCCTCTTTGTAAAGAGTAACCCACACACTCAGAATCTCAATTGGACTAAGGTAGTGAAACCTTACAGAGTGTAGTAAACCTTTGTATCCTCTCTGTGAGAGTAACCCAAACACTTAAACCTGATTATACATCTATCATATGTAAAGCCTGAAGAGGCTAGGTAAAGAATACTTGTAAAGCCTGGAGGGGCTTGTCAAATAATACTCACTATGAGCTTGAAGAGACTGATTAAAGAATACTAGCGCTGATGAATGAAACTGGCAGGTCAGGAATGGTTGATAATACTTGGACCAGGAGTGGTTTTGACCTGGACAGTCCATAATACTCACTGCTAGCCAGAAGTGGCTCATAAGAATATACTAGTGTTGGTGAGTGAAGCTGGCGGGCCAAGAGTGTTCGAGAATACTTGGGGAACCAGAAGTGGTCGTGACCGGGTTGGTCTAGAATACTCAAGGCCTAGAGAGGTCGAGAATACTTGGACCAGGAGTTGTTCTGACTTGGGTGGTCCATAATACTCATTGCTAGCCTGAAGAGGTTGATAAAAGATACTAGTGTTGATGAGTGAAGTCAACGGGCCAGAAGTGGTCGACAATACTTTTGTACTTGATTGCATATTTAGTGGAACCTTTCAATTGAAGGAGACTGAACGTAGCTCGATCTAAGTGAATCAGTATAAAAATGATTGCATTGTTTTACTTATATTTCAGACGCAAACCCTTCTTAATTGAAAAATCATGTTGAAAAACTCGTCTACTGCCTATTCTTCATTAAAACAATTTTTCAGACGAAGACGCAAATTTTGTTTAACAAATATATTACACTGAAAAGTTTTATCTACTACCTATCTTTAAATGAAACTATCTTGAAAAGGAAAATGCAAGAACCTTAATCATTATTGTTATATGAAACATTTTCCTTCAGCAGTCGATAAATCGTTCAAACGCAGTGACCTTGTGTTAAGCAAATTCTGCATAACCGTCTGGTATTTGAAAGTAAATTGGACGAAGAACATTACTCTTGCAAAAAAGATTATAAAATACCTTCGTACTCACACACACATATTCAACCCCCCTTCTATGTGTTTTCATCTAACTTCACCTAGGTTCACACTTAAAGCTATAATAGTCTCTTTCTCTTCATCCACTACCAAAACATGCAGTTGGAGCTTCTTATGAGATAAGTTGTGCTCTACTAAATATGGTTCATCACAGAAATAACAAAGCCCTTTGGACCTCCTCTCTAACATGTAAGTAGGAGTCAAACTTCTTGTTGGCCTTGGTTTGGAATTCACAAATGCCACCAGAGTCATGGAGGTACCTTAGGACCAGGTCCCAATACCCTTTTTTGGACTTTGCCTTGTACATTGGTCTGAACCTATGGGGTTTAGTAGCCTCATACATTCTTGCTAAGACAAGCTCTTCGAACTGTAGATAATTGAAATATGTGGACCATCTTCTATACATCCATCTTGAGACCTCCAAGAAAACAACTCAAGGATACTCCTCTGGCAGATTCAATCTGGTGATAATTAAATCAAATTCCTCATTAGTCACATACAAAATGTTTCTGCCTCAGTCTCATTAACTCTACCATGGGATCATCACAAATGTCACCATAATGTTCAATCAACAACGTACTGTAATCACCCCAAGATAACCAAAATGTGATAATTACTTCTCAATTTATATAAACAGACTTTTAAAAAAGTCTATTTATATAAAAATGTCATACTTTTATAGAAAAATTTGTTAAACCTCATAGATCAATTTATTTATTTGTATAATATAATAAAAAATTTATATATATATATATATATATATATTGTTAAAATATGAATTAACAAGTAAATTTATAAATCAAAAATAAATTATCAATATTTAAAATATTTTTTATATAATTATTTTTTTCATTATAGATTTATAAATTTACGACGTGTGCATGAGTGTACATTAACATATATGTTTACACATGAATTATTCTTTCAATAGAAAATGATTCAATTTTTCTCTTATATTTCTTTTAAATTTTTAATTTTAAAAATATCGAGTAAACTATATTTTAAAAAGAAATTATTAATTTTTAAAAATTAAGTTCATTGACCTAATTAACATCAATAATTTAAATAAGTTTTTAAATAAACTAATAGGTCAGGTTTTAAAAAAACCAAACCAAACCTAAAAAATTTATAATAAATAATAGGTCAAATTTAGATTTTAATTTTACAGAATAAATCCAACTTATATATTCAACGTCTGTCCTCACCTATTCTCATCCCTAAACAACATGCACACATATAAGCAATCAAAATGTTGAGATTATCTAGTAATTATACAATGAACTTAAGAATTAATGAATGCTCGAGCAACTGAAGTTACAAAAACCCAACTTAAGCACTCCAAGCGACCAACTTTAGTACCTTGCTATCTATGGATTAACACCATGATGAACTACAAAATCTATACATTTTATTTTAAAGAAAAAACGTTCATAAATCTACATTTGTTTTTGTTCACCTTAAATCAGAGTGGTGATTGGGAAGAAAGCCAAGGGTGTCATCAAAACCATCTGAATCAGCACTGTCTGTTGATTTTTCTTGCTCTGCAACAAGCATAAGCATCTCTAGTCGCTTGTCAAATTGCAAAGCACTCTCATCTCTCTTGTCAAGCTCAGCAGCTTCGATTTCAAGCCATTTCTCACGTAAATCATCAAGAAGATTTCCTTGATCAGTATTTAGAGCAGATCCAGGAATGCTCGGGACAGTGGTACGAAGACTTGAGTCTCCAGATGGTGGAGGCAAAGTCAACAACATTGCTCGGAATTCTTTAGTATCAGCAAATGTTTCAAAATTACAAGCGATGGTGTCCAGACAATATTCCCGAATCTTGATAACACCATACCTGGACAAGAGCAAATATTCAATAGACACAACACAACATCAAAATATGATCAGGTACAGGTTGATTATCATATAATATCTGAATATATATTGACCATGTTACATAAGATCACATATCAAGTGCGAAAATAAGGAACATGTGTAATTCACCATAGCAGGACTTACAATACTTAGCAGTTAGGACCTGGGAATAATTTAACAAAAATATGATTTCTCTTATAACACAACCTAGAGCCAATTAGTGCAGTGATAATAGAATTAAGGGTAAACCAAAAAACAAAAATCAATTCTTTCAGATAGTAATATTCTTTCCAAAATTTGTGCAATCATAATTTCCAAAGGATAACAATCTTTCATGAATAATTGAATATCATTTGATCCGCTTTTTCAAATTTCATCCTTCTCGTGATGCAAAGTGAATTCTAGAATCCACAATTTTTAATATCCTAGATCATCTCATTTAATTCTAAATACTCTTTTGAAATCAGATATCTTCCCAACTTGCTGTCCATCATTTTACAACAGAAAGCATATAAGACAAGAAACACTGGTAAACAAATTCCCTATAAATAATTTATTAACACATGGACCAAATGGAGACGCTTTACTAACTGCACTCATGAATAGTTAGGAAATACAAATCAGATCAATTACTACTACACCATTAGACATTTCTCTAACTAATTTGGATAAATATACTCAAGTAGAGTTATCTAATTAAATAAGCTATATTATAAGTACAGTCCAAAATAAACCAAAATGCAACCAGTAAAGGATGACATTTCAAAAGTATTGAAACAATTATATAAATATAATAAGAAGACAACAAAAATAGTCAAGGAAGAATCTCATCCTATGAAGCACAAACTCTTCTATTTGAAGTGTCACAATGCTGAACAGTTTCCTGACAACTGATGACACCTGTTAGACAAGATTTTTTTGCCGACTTGGACACTTGGGACGACACCTCTACACAACTCAGACACTTGAGCCAAGACATCCATAGGAATAGACAACAACTTATTCCACTATGTAAGGTCAACCACATGAATAACACATTTGACTATGTTAAAGACCCAATCATCATGGATATCATTTACCATGAGATCCTTCTTAACAGCTTCAAATGTCCTTGGTTGATAGAAACTGGACCAGAAATGAAAGAAAAAACAGAATTTCTTTATTGATCTAGTGTATCTCTACAAAGAATTCCCTGGATATTGGAGAGATCCAGGCCTCTCCCTAGTCTCAATTCTATTTCACCAAACGATGACTCTTGTTTTCAACTCCTCTTCCTATTTATAGGCAGCTACTGCTATGCTAACATAAACACACCCTTAATGAGCCAAATCAGTTGCAGGCCCAGTTGACAAATTACTAATATAACTAACTGACCTATCATTGATCTCCCTCTCCTCCTTTTTACAGGACTAAAATCCATGCAACCTATCCTCCTCACTGATGCACACACTAATATTGAGAAGATAAAAAATCATTTTTTCATTTTGAAGAAAAGTCAGGTTAAAAATATAATTAAAAAATATTTTAAAAAAAATGTCTCACTTATTTTTTTAGACTCATTATCAGAAAAAATTCAGAAAGTTGGTTTGAGAAGTTAAATATACCTCTCTAAATTAGCTTTTTATTTTGGGATTTTTTGTAAAGTACTACATTTCTTCATCGTAATGTTTCTTAGTTTTCTTTAGTGAGGCTCATTATCATAAGCAAACAATGAATATGGAATAATATACAAATATTGATCATCAATTTAGATCTTTTGTTGTAACTCATTTCATTTGAGTTGTGTGTGAGCACGTGGCGATCAATGTCCTATATGTCATATATTAATTGTGCAAGTGTTTATGTTAGAGTTTGTGCTTCATAGATCTCATCCTGAAGGACACAATAATACTTGCAGGCATTAATGAAAGATGGAGGAAGATTGGCAGAAAAGAGAAATACATGTCTGCTAGTATTAACCAATGGCAAAGTTCTTCAGGTGACACCAATTCCAAGTGTGGCAACAAGACATCAGCCACTGCCCGCTTGAGAGGAAACAATAAATATCTAGAAGCAACATCCAACATTTCCTCAGCCTGTTCACAATATATTAATATTAGACAACAGAAGGACAAACCACTATTACCAGAATTCTATATGGGCGTATAAAAACCTGATCTGGATTTATGTCCTGCAAACGATCAGTGTACCTGATCCAACAATAGACAATAAAATTCATGAAAATCTTAATTTTCAGCAGAAAATTAATGTATAGATACAGTCACACTATTGCAGAAACTTCAACATACTAAAGGCACTGAAGACACTAAAAATGAGCAACAAAAGCTTAAAACAATACAATACATAAATGGCCTAGTACAAAAGGCAACCATTCATTAACTTAAAGCAATATAAATAAAAATCATTCAATCTTAAAATTGCAGTCATAACCAGAAAAGAACTATAGAAACTTCTCATTTGAATAAAATTTTACTACCATAGAACAACTGATTGTGTTTGGTTAGCTGCTTATATATTCCTACTTCCAACTTGACATACAACAAACAGGTGAATCTCTCAATACATACAGACACAAGTATAAATGCCTGCACACACATATCTTAAATGACAGAAATGTATGAAAGAATATCCTCATTGTAAAGCATTTAAATGTAAATCGGGTAAACCAGATTCTACAAAATAAAACGCAGATGCTGATTATAGCCAAATCGTATAAGGTTATCATGACACAAGTATAAATGCCTCAATACATACAACAAACAGGTGAATCTCTCAATACATACAGACACAAGTATAAATGCCTGCACACACATATCTTAAATGACAGAAATGTATGAAAGAATATCCTCATTGTAAAGCATTTAAATGTAAATCGGGTAAACCAGATTCTACAAAATAAAACGCAGATGCTGATTATAGCCAAATCGTATAAGGTTATCATGACACAAGTATAAATGCCTCAATACATACAACAAACAGGTGAATCTCTCAATACATACAGACACAAGTATAAATGCCTGCACACACATATCTTAAATGACAGAAATGTATGAAAGAATATCCTCATTGTAAAGCATTTAAATGTAAATCGGGTAAACCAGATTCTACAAAATAAAACGCAGATGCTGATTATAGCCAAATAGTATAAGGTTATCATGACAATGAGTGCCACATTAAATTAAATCCTACCACTATTTTCAATTTCCAAATTTCAGTCTAGGGAAGAGACTTACATATACTCAATCATTTTCTCAAAAGCTTCCATGCTCAAGTCATGTTCTTCAAGACAAGGAAGGATGTCAACAGATAACTCATCTTTCCCTTCATGAAAGTCCTTCATATGTGATAATCTTGCTTTGAAATATTCTGACCTAGATGCTAGAATAACTTGGTGACAGCGAAAAATTTTTCTATCTACTTTTACACAAACATCAGCAAGATCATCCAGAGATTTAGCCATCTGCATGGCACTCATCCTAGATATCAATTTATCAATTTCATCTTCTTGACCACTTTCATGGGTTGAATTCGCAAGGGCAATCAGAAGGATTCGATGCAAGGCTGCAGGAAGCCTGTCTTCTTCAGGAAGGGATAGACCTTGTAAAATATACCGTTTCTGGGAATTATCTACATCTCTCAGTGCTTTATAATCTGCATATGTTTGATGAATCACTTCTTTCTCGAGAAATTTCTGCAGTGATTCACATTTGCATACTTTGCAGATTCTCACAAGATCCTCCATGTCATCAACAGCAATCTCTAATCTGTCTGAATAAAAGAAGTGTATAAGGCTATAAAGTGCAGGATATGACAACCTTTCCCTTGAGAATCTTACTTCACTGCGCTCCTTCCAATCAGTTGCAAACTTTTTCTTGAAAAATGGTGACCTTGCACTTAATATGACTCTGTGAGCTTGAATAGGTCTTCCTTGTACAATAAAAACTACATCTGGAGGGAAGTGACTGCAAATGGACCCCTGGGTGGATGAAATACCTATTCAATTATGATAATATTGAGTCCCAGCCCATGTATACATACATCATGATTATTTGGGGAAAAATATAACAACTACCACAACCAATGACATCCTGATAGAGATTCAATTTCTACCAATTAACACTGAGTAAGAATAGGGAACTTTTATTTATTCACTGAAATAAATGGATAAAAGTACAAAATATAAAATTTTCAATGGAATCCCTCTATAAACAAGGTTGGCTACCCTTCCCGATTATTCTCGGAAAACTAGCATACACAATCCCCTTCCCCTTTTTACCTAAGGATAAGGATAAATAACAAGAAAGATAAAGATAAAAGGATAACTAACAAATTCCTATTATTCTAGATAAAGTAAATAAAAAGGATAAGTAACTTATTCCTACTTTTCTAGATAACGATAATACAAATAATAGTTAACTTATTCGTATTTTCTAGGCTTTCCTTATGCAAGAGTAAACTTATGGGGGGGGGATGTTTCCTAACATATCCCTGTCTCCCATTACAAAAAGAACAAGAATCAACAGATGATAAGCAAGTTTCTTTATCAGTCTATAAAGAGTTTTAGTATTTGAGTCATAAATCTGTATTATTCAAGTCTACCAGTAGCATGTTTGGATGCAGCCTGTCAAACATCTCCTAATAATTAAATTATAGTTTCACACTGCAAGGGATTGTTCAAACAACAAAATCTTACCCTAACATGGAACCAACAGTCCCCCTCATATAGCGGAACATTAAGCATACCTACTAGAAAGCTAAACTTAATGCCAATGCTGGATAATGTTTTAAGTGGAGAAGAAAAGTAAAAGGGTTTGACAACAATCTTACAACTTCATCCTGTGCCTTATGGTTTAACCTAGGGAGGCAGAGGGAATGAAGGTTTGTGTAATGCTTAACAGCTAGCAGCAAAGATGGGATGAGTAATCATCTCATGTAGGGAGTGGACCCTTATAAGATAATAGGAAACAAAAATGAAATAAGTTTTTCCATAAACTAAAACTAATAAGTTAAAAATTAAATTTCGAGAGAAGCTAATATGAAAGAAATATAAATTAGCTTGTGTGTAAGCTAATTGTAGTTTATCAAGAAGCTCATTTCATTTTTCCTCTCAGAGGTGCTTACCAAGAAGTTTATCCAAACAGGTCTAGAGTCTATCTTGAAGTCCATTGGGTCTCAACTCAAGTAACTTGGAGTTGAAGTGAAAAATAGTATTGTAATGCTAAAAATCTGTTTGAATACAAGTTAGAAGTGCTTTTGAGAGTTTTCTAAGAAAAGGGAATTAAAGTCTAACACAATCTTATAAAACCGACATATAAGCTGAGAGTTGTCTTCCAATTTATATACCTTCAGTAGGTGTTATCACTAATCGATATAGGATCTCCAACAAGCTTATTTATTGAAAATAGAGATTATTTTCAAGTAAAGAAGCTTCCAAAAGCACTTCTAAGCTGTATCCAAGCAGACTAAAACCCCAAAGCAAAGCAGTAAGTAAAGTAGAACGAGATGAAGTGGGCAGTAGCGTACCGGCGAGGAAGGTGTCGCGCAAAGAGGACTGCAGGGGGTCGAGGGGCGGAGGGCGGGCCTCGAAGGCCTTGAGGAGTTTGCGGACCTTCAAATTGAGGGCGGCGTAGTGGCAGCGGTCGCCGTCGAAGGTGTGTTCGGAGCAGATGGCGCCGTTCTCGAGGAGCATGCGGGCGGCGTCGAGGTGGCCGACGAGGCAGGCGTAGTAGAGAGCGACGGAGTCCCACTGGTCCCGCGCGTTGACGTTGACGCCGGCCTCCAGCAGGTAGCGGAGGCGCTCCACGTCGCCGGCGCGGGACGCCTCGAAAACGTCGCCGTTTGGGACCTTCTTCACTGGAACCGATGGCGCCAGGTCCAACTCCAGGTCCGCGTCCGACAGGTCCAGCTCGTCAACGAATGTCATCGTCTTTTTATCACTCAGCTGCTGTATAGTGCAAAGGGTTTAGCTCCTCCACTGCTTGCCCTGCTTTCAATTCGATTCGACCCACACCAGACCAAACCAAAGGCTTATTTTAAGTTACCAATGGATTGAGAGGCACTCAATGACTCTCATAAAGTTATTTAAAAATTACCGTTGAATTAATTATTACTGCTTGATTGCTTATCAAATATCAAGGTTTTAGTAAATTTTAAATTTGTATAAATAATTAATTTTAAATATTATTTTTAAAATTATCTAAAAAAATGTGTGTACCAATGTAGGTGCTTATGATGAATGATATTGATATTTGTTTCTCAGCTATCATTCAACATTAGGATGATATGAGGTTAAGTTTGATCTTGTGATGGATATAGAGATTTTACAACAATATAGTTTCTCAAGAAAAGAGATGAAGTATTCGATATGTATTGCATCAGATTCACAACTATTGTAAACAATCTCTTATATTTGAAGCAAAGGAGGGGGAGAATGTGTGTTGATCTCCCCCTAAATACTCGTGATTAAAATTGAATGTAGATGGTAATTGGTTAAGTGACAAAAGAGTTATGGGATTTTGAGGTGTTGTGAAGGATGTAGTGGGAGGTTGGAAGAGTTATTTTGCAAGCTCAACAAGTAATGATGATCCACTTCAGGTAGAATTGTTGATAATAATAGAAGGTTTGGAGTTGTGCTAGCACTCAGTTTAAGGGTACATAATTTGTGAATCATATTATGTTAGGGCAATGTTGGTGATTCAAGGGTCATGAGAGTTATCTTCACAAATATTAGGATATTATATTAGCAATATTAGGAGGATGGTGGTTCAGGACTATAGAGTTATTTTTGTGAGTATTTCTTGGGAACCAGATGGTCAACTCTGTTAAAAGAATAGTGAAGGCAAGGCACATCATGAGAACCAGATAATTCAAGCTCATTGAATAGACGAAGTGCAATATGTGCACCAGACGACTATGAGTCCAATATCAGATGGATGTGTGTCAAGAACAACCTCCAATGCAATATGAAGAAATGGACCAAGCATGACACAAAGAAGAAAGTCAACTATGCATCAGACGAAGGATAGTGAAGACTGAAAGACACTCTAGACGGAAACAATGTCTGTCTATTCACATTGTTGACCAGATCAAAGAAAAATCAAAACATTAAACTTAGACGCTGAGATGAAGGTCAAGATTGAGGTGCACAGGACCAACACATGAAGACAAAGACTGCCACACAAGCAATTAAAGAATCAAGTCTCAAGAAACAAACCAAGACATTGTCTATGACCACACAGAAGCTCTCAACATAAAACACGTGATCTAAATCAAGAAACAAAGAAGAAGAGAAGCATGCAAAAGCAAAAGCATGCACGTGTAAGAAAAAGTGAATTACTTTTTTAGAAAATGACAATGGCTATATTGTTGCATGACTAGAAAAAGACAAACAATTTCTAGGTCTCAGTTAAAGTCAAACACTGCTGGCAACAGGAAGACTTTATCTGAGACCAAGGAATTATTTGTCTTTTTCTGGTCATACAACAATATAGCCATTGTCATTTTCTAAAAAAGTAATGCACTTTTTCTGACACATGCGTGATCTATTTTTGTGTGCTTCTCTTCTTCTTTTTTTCTTTATTTAGATCACGCGTTTTACGTTGAGGGCTTCTGTGTGATTGTAGACGATGCCTTGGTTTATCTCTTGAGACTTGATTCTTCATATGCTTTTATAGTAGTCTTGGTCTTCGTCTGTTTGTTCTGTGCATCTCAATTTTGACTCTTGCTTCAGCGTCTGAGTTTAGTGCTTTGATTTTTCTTTGATCTGATTAACAATGTAATTAAATAGACAAACATTGTTTCCATCTGGAGTGTCTCTCAGTCTGTGTTGTCTTTCGTCTGATGCATAGTTGGCTTTCTTTTTAACCTTAGTCATATGCCTCATCTGATTTGCGCTTTGGGATAGTTGTACTAGACATATATTTTTGTCTGATTATTTTATGATCGACTGGCGCATATACGTGTTCCAACTATTCTTCTCTTGACGCTCGATTTCCTACATTACTTTGCTTCATCTATCTCAACTCTTCTGGTGCGTGTCTTGCCTTGACTATTCCTCATAGGCTTCTTATGATATTTCAGTGTCTCATTCTTGTGGTAATCCTCTTCCGTCTGTGAGCAGACTTCGTCTTTATACTTGACTAGTCATCATTTGATTCTTTCATCTACTTTGTAGAATCTTCATGGATTGTTGTATTTAATGCCTTTGATTTTGCATTAAGTGTTTGCTTGCTGAATCTGCGCTTCATGAGATCTTTTGTACTATATGTTTTCTTTTCTGACTGGCATTACGATATTTAAAAATAAAATAAAATAATGTTTTCGATAAGGAAAATAATATAAATAAAATATTAATATTATTATCTCTTAGATAATTTATTTAATTATTTTTTACATTTTAATTTATTTATTTAATTATCTCAATATTTTAAAGTTAATTGCAATTTTTTTATATAATTTTTATCATTTTTCTATAATTGCAAAGTTTATCATTTTTGCAAAAACTTTTTACACAGTGTGACTTTTTATTTTATTTTATCAATGTGACAAATATTGTGAACGTGGTGGCAAATATCGTGAACATAACAAGAAAGTTTTGTTTTTATTCCATGGATCATGAGATATGTGTAATATTTTGTTTTATGAAATAATAATATTATTATATATTTATATTTTGGTCAGAATTATTTTTATTATTATAAGGGGAAAAATACTTTATATTATTTATTCATTTTGGGAAAAAGAGAAGCGGGTCGAGAAGAAAAGTGATTGATGGAGGAAGCCCATGAGCTAAGGGCCCAACTACTAGGGCTATGGCAAGGAGGATGCATGAAGAGTGGGCCCAAGCCCAAGGAAAGCCCACCACTTTGTTTTGTTGGGCTTTGACTCAAGCCCAAGTAGATTAGGGTTAGTATAGGATTGGGCCTTGGTGCCTTGTATTTCTTTTGGGCCTTGTATTTTCGGCCATAAAGCATACACTACAAGAAAAATGATAAATTGTGACGGGCAAATTGCGACGGTTATCTAGAAACCGTCGTCGCTTTGATATTGCGACCCTTCATACGACAGTTTTTCAAAACCGTCGCAAAATTGTTCAACATTGCGACGGTTTATCGTAAACCGTCGCAAAATTTGTTTAACATTGCGACGGTTTATCATAAACTGTCGCAAAATTTGTTTAACATTGCGACGGTTTATGATAAACCGTCGCAAGTTTAACATTGCGACAGTTAATCATAAACCGTCGCAAATTTAACATTGCGACAGTTAGTCATAAACCGTCGCAAAATTTTCAGCATTTTTTTTTATTAGAATTTAAAAGTTTTTTTTTTT